GTGGCGGTTCCATAACGCACTACACCATGTATAAGGTTACGATTTTGCTGTTTTTGAAGACATTTAGTGTTGTTTAAATAAATCTTACTAAAAATATGTTAGCATTTTGTAATCAAGTCGTGAGCATGCCAACTGGATATGAATCTTTTGTTATATGTATATAAAAATTGGAATTTCTTTTTGTAATATCGAAATAATTAGCTTCTATTAAAATAGGTGTGTTAACATGCAATTAAGACATGAACGACATTTCGGTCTGGGTTGTCTCGGGCTACTCTGGGGACGGATGAAACAATGTGTGATGAAACTCTACGAATGAACGGTGAGCAACGCCTGCAGAAATCCAAGATATTTCATTCGAAAAACATGCAGGCTGATTTTGAAATCAATTTTTAGTTTTTAGTAGTTATACAACAAGGAACTCTTATAGTTTCGCCATGTCCGTCTGTGAGGCTGCGGCATTACTCAGAGACAGTGCCACAAATCTGTAATTTGGCATAGTTGTAGATATTAATCACGTCTGCAAAACTGCGAATAAAAATATCATACAGGTAAAGGGAGGATTGAGGTATACCTCAAACTCTGAAAACTAGATTTTACAACTAGTGCGTGTTGCCAGTGACTTACGGATCTGAGACGTGGTCCTTCACTACTGGCCGTATGAGGACGCTCAGAGTCGCTCAGCGAGCTATGGAAAGGGCAATTCTCGGAGTTTCTCTGGGTGATAGACTCAGAAACGAGCATATCCGCAGTGAAACCAGAGTGACCGACATAGCCCAATGGATTAGTAAGATGAACTGGCAATGGGCCGGCCATATAGCTCGAAGAACCGATAACCGATTGGGAAGAAAGGTTCTCGAGTGGCAGCCTCGTACTGGTAGGCGTAGTGCAGGGTGACCTCCACTAGATGGAGTGATGACCTGGTAAGACATGCAGGAAGTCGATGGACCCAGGTGGCTCAGCACCGTGCTTTGTGGCATTACTTGGGGGAGGTCTATGTTCAGCAATGGACTTGTGAAGAGCTGTAATGATGATGAAAGGGAGGATGATGGTTTTTTATTCGTCTATTCCATCATGTGGGGTGTCGTTGGATGGATTTACTTTTTCTTTTACATGACAGGCAGTGAGGACCTTTCTTATATACTCACTACTTTCGCAAATTTTTTAGTTAGTAGTTATTGTGGGCCTCATTCAAAGTACTCCTATAATCATATAGCCACATACAGTTTCATTCGTGGTACATGGTTTACACGGGCGACCCACAGAAGTGTTTATATTATATATTATTTTCATATTATAGACAGCTGTGGTACATGGGATGTCTCGTTACGACTCTTTACAACTTAAGTTAGAAATTGCCTATACGGCCCTTCTCTTTTGTACGTATACTGGCGGTGTGAGACGTTAGAATATCCACTACCCCATATCGTCCCGCGATTATCGTAAGAGGTGAAAAGGGAAAAACCAGGAAATCGGCAAGAGTGTATACCCAATAATCTATATTCAGCAGTGGACTTGATGTAACGGTAACCGAGTATAAAGTGTTTTTTTTTTCATAATTGAACTACGAGTACTTGCCCCAAAACACCATTACACTATTATTATAGATCTGAAAGTTTTTTGACGAAGATCTCCGCGGACATAATTGCGGCTAAAAGCTAGTTTTATTTTTAATTAAAATTACTTTTTTATAGATGAGGGAACAAACGAGAATGCGGCTCACTTGATGGTAAGTGACTACCGTCGTCCATGAACAACCGCAACACCAGCGGAATTGCAAGTGCGTTGCCGGAATTTTACAAAGAGTAAGCTTTTTCGTGAAGGTTCTAAGTCGTATCGGTCCGGAAACCTATTCCACAAAACTGTTCGGTGGTAAAAGATTCCACAAAGAGGTTGTGCGAAGAAGAAAACTCCTAGTAAAACGCGCAGTGGTGGACCGCCATGCATGCAGATGGTGTGGATTGTATCGTGGGTTTTGTCGTGAATTTACGCGTGCGTGCTTTACTTGTATGTCTAAGATAACCATAAATTATCATTCAATGTTATACGTTATGATTAAGTTTTGCTATTCATGGCATATATCATAAGAAATGGAAAGTGATTATTGTTTAGGCAACAAAGATTTTAGTGTATCGGTATGAAATATCTTTATGACTTTAAAATGGTATTTTAAATAATTTTTATAGCCATGTTTCAAACATAAATATTTTTCATTTCCAAAAGACAAAGTAAATTAATGGTAATTTTTAAAATTAAAAACTGATGGGAAACTTTTATTTTTACTGGGAAATATCCGTATCTTAATGTTTTTATATATTAATTGCATATGGACAAATAATAAGACGCGAAACACTTTTCATTTACTAAAGCTTATAAAAATTTCACTGCTCAACATAGGCTTAGGAAGATAGGCTATAATTTTCTATAAATAATTTTAATTCAAGTAAAATTTCAAAGTTTATTTAATTTTTTATTAAAAATATTTTGTAGTAATTTAAATTTAGATATAATGATAAAATTAGTATATAAATAAATAAATATAGTTTATTATTTTATAATTTAATAAAAGGATGTTTAAATATGTTTATTTATGTTTAAATATTGCAATTGCTGCCACGATTGATAAGCGGTTTGGCAATCACATTTTTTAATTTTCAGTTCTCATCAAGTAAATACTTCATTTCATGTTTTAGTTACTCTTTGTCGCTTCTTGCGATAACCATGGAATGCTACGGGGTAGTACGAGTAGCTATTCTTATGGCGCCGCTGCACACCATTTATTTTTAGGCCATAAAAATAGCAGTAGGTAGCTTCGAGACAACACTGCAGTTTGAATGCGCTTAGACAATATGCTGAGGCGTCAAATTTGTCTTGAAACTGAACTTATATTAAGCTTTGAATTGACTTATAGTGATCAGTAAATGAAGAAAAAGCTGAAGCAATCTTCAAATTTTAATCTCTATGCAGACGATTTGCAGCTGTATCGTCATTTTCTAGTGACTGAAGCAAATTCAGCAATGTTTGAAATAAATAAACATCTAAAGAAAATCTATGAGTGGTCTAGATCGTATAAACTTGCTATAAACCTTAAAAAATCACAAGCAATAATTATAGGCACCATGTTTACTCGTAGCTTACTTGATTTTACTTCACTCGCAGTACTGCAAATGAATGGCACTCCACTAAACATCTCAGAAACTGTTAAGAATCTGGGCATCATCATGGATTGCAAATTGACATGGAATGCACATATTACAGAAGTTAGCCGGAAAATCAATTCTGCCCCTGTTAGTTAAAAGGACGTATCTACATTTTTTTTTCAAAAACGGAGTTATATATATTGCCAGAATCAGGAAAAAAAAAGGCGGATCTGCGCATAATTTTTAATTTTAGCTTTCTTGCTTAGTTTCGGATTTACCGATAACCAAAAAGTCGTATCTACATCTTTGAATGTGGTCTTACTAAGAATAAGAAGTTAAAACGCATCTAACAAACACTTAGATAAAAAGACGTATTATTGTATATGTGTCTTATTTTATTAAGAATTCTATGTTGTTACAATAGTAAAAAGTCACTTCTACTTAAAAGTTTCGCGTCGTAAGATAAAAAAACGTAACTGACCATTTAGGTTTTTTTTATTTTAACTTTATCGTATGCCTATACTAAGCAAAAAAGCCATTTATACCAGATGCGTCCTTCATTTGATGTACATGGTGTAGATGCGTCTTATTTTATTAAGGAGGCGAAAAGTTTGTCACTTACATACTTAATACAAAAGCCGTAAATGGTAGAGGCGTCTTTTCCATTTAGTTTTCATATGTGTGGCAGAGTGCGGGAGGAGAGGAAGTGTTCGATATTCTGTCAGTTGCGCCCATAGATAACTATATACCAGGTTGCGAAGACGCAGCGGCTGCGCCTCGTTCATTTCCCAGGATCGCGAAATAGTTACGAGATAACATAAGAATATTTTCATCGTAATTTTGTAAATAATCCTGTTTTAATACTTTCTGTGCATTTTAACAGCTAGGTTTTTGTCATAATGTTATTTTATTATTGTATAGAGTTTTAATTATTTGCGGACAGCCCAGTAATATTTATTAATATTATATTTTATCAAACTACCTACTATTCACACTCCAATTTAGCTATGTATTTAAATTTAACCCTAGATTACTAACCTTATTTTACAACGCTTATTACTAACCTTCGTCGTTTCGGCTACGCCGTACAAAAGGGAGGCTTTTAAAGATTTATGGAATAAAATATTTATATGTGTTTTTCTTATTTATTACACTAATCATTTGTTAACATGTTTATAAGTTTTTTATCTACTAAAATCACATTTTAATTACTTTGACACTCTTTTAATTCAGACCTGAGTTTTTACTCATTTGAACATAACATTTTTTTTAAATGCTTAATTCTTATGAACTAAAAGAAACAGACACTTAAAAAAGTATTAAAATATTAAAATTAAGTAATAAAATCAACAAAAGAAAGAAACAGTTTAGAAAAAAAAGTATTAATTAATACTCTTGTGACAAATGTCAAGTTTATGTTCGCCACACAAGGATTTGTTGCGCTTGGTGCAACAATTCTTTGTCATTATTCGCTTTGCGGAGGGGCAAATTGCACAATTTTTTCTTTTTTTGGCAATAGTAAGACTAACTGTATCTTTTCTTTGATCAGTCTCATGTGTAGAAGTAGAACTACTGGTTCCTGGCATATTCAAAATCGCTGTTATATAGTCCCGCAGTCCCGTTTGAAGTGTCGGAATTTGTAATCTTTTTTTGCATGTGTGGCTCGACTAATTTTTGATGCTACTCCGCCCTTAGTTTGATTGTAAAACTCAACCATCGTGGGTTTTTTGGTTAACTCATCAATTGTCCCTACCTTATCACAAGTCGACAGTAGGCATATTGTCTTTTGGGGCTTTATACTTGCCTGGATGTCTTTGGTTAAAGGTGGTTGTTCTATCACAGAAAAAATTTCTTCCTTACCATCTATTTCATAAGCCGGATCAGCCTCAAGGTGCTCTTCTATCTCACTCTTAGAGCAGTTTTCTTCGTCACTATTATCATCTAATAACAACTGACTAGTAGTATCTAAAATAAAAATATATTCAAATATAAAAATAATGTAAGTTCTTATTTTAATGTAGGCAAATTAAGTACAAAGTTTACGAAACACCGAAATAATTATAACACCAAAAAAAATAATTAAAAATGACTTTGAAAGAATAACGTTAATACTAACCTTCGTCGAATTGACGACTCATGGTGGCTGGAACGGCGCACACAGGGCCACTACACAAAAACACGCTCGTGTGTCGCGGGAGCTTTGGGTCAACTGAGATTAGCCGGAATCTGCAATGCTTACGACGACGCACTCAAAATTTATACCACTTTTTTTGAGTCCGTGTCGTCGTTTCGACGAAGGTTAGTGATCTAGGGTTAATGATTTTTTGTGTCTATTTTAGTAGTCCCTGATATTTATTTTAAATACATATTTTGTATAATATTTTGACACTTTTATAGTAAAGTTGTGAATTTCATTATACTTATATTAATAGAGGGTAGATGTTAGAAGACAGTTATTTATAATACCTAGTAACATTAAATTGGTGAAGTAATAATTTTTTTATTACTGTTACTATGTGTTAAGAAAACTAGTCAATATTACTTATTTTTGTTACGATGGAACACGCGAAGTTTCATAACTACATAAATAATATAGTTATTAATTTCTAATTATTTTTATATTATAAACGCAAACGCCTATAAATAGAAGGGAATTTTGGTATAATTTACAAGTTAAATAATGATTAAGTGAATTTGATCACCGAACACGAAGTGTAAGAAGAAGGTTTTGTAAATTTATATGTTATTTCTGTTACTTATACTTATGGATAGATAGGTATTTAAGACAGAAACTATAAGATGTTGAATTATTACTATACGAGAACATTACTTAGTGTTTGGAAACAAATATTTATGGCTGTGACAATGCCTTGGAAACTAAAAGATCCCATTAAAGTCTAGTTGTTATGTTAGTAGTCACAAAAATACATATGTTAAACTTTGTATTTATAACACTTGTTCAGTTTGAATTTTTTAAATGAATATTGATTAAAATAAAGAGACTTTCATTACGAAATAATTACTTGATAGGTAAAATGGAAATAATTTTATCATTGCAACCTTATTTCATTTGTAATACAAGTGACATTTTTGCATAAGCATCCTTTATTATTTAATTTTTGATGGCAAAATTGATATGAGTAAATTAAAAATATATAATATCATATGTGTGCTAAGTATAAAAGCTACATATGGCTTGTTGCGCCTTTTTGACTCAGTTGGAAGTGATTCGTATAATTTTTTGTGCTAAAATAAAATGCTTTTTTTAGGTTTTTATAAAAAAATAAATAAAATTAAAAAATTCAATACATGCGTATAATAAGAAAAGTGTAAAAAATAATATCATACATTAATACTTTGACAAAAATAAATATTTACTACACAGCGGACTTTTTCTGTTTTGTCATTTCAAGAATTTTTTCTCGAAATTTACTTTTTGTTGCGTCCTTTTAACTAACGGGGGCAGAATTATACTTTTCATTACTTAAAATATCAATTATTTCTCTTGTCCAAACACTTATTTTCCCGATTCTTGATTATGCTGATGTCTGTTATTTGGATGCGACTGAGGAGCAATTAAACAAACTTGAGCGCTTGCAAAACGTATGTATTCGTTATATTTTTGGGCTAAAAAGTATTACCACGTCTCCTCCTATCGCAAAAAGCTCAACTGGCTCTCAATCCGACTTCGAAGGAATACCTGAATCCTATGCCTCCTCTTTAACATACTATACAATCCAACATCACCACCGTATCTATATAATCGATTCCGCTTTGCTCATTCTCCCAATGCAGTTTGCCGATCACATTTAAAAACCCTCCAAAATTTTTCTTCCTCCAGAACTAAGTTCTATTTTCTTTTAAAGTACATGCAGTCAGCTTATGGAATTCTCTTCCTGCTGTAATTCGTGAGGCTCAAATAGTTTCAGTGTTTACAAGGAGAGTTAAAGAGCACTATCTTTCTTTGTCATCCCAATGATCAAATGTATGACTTGTATATATACGTGTATCTATATGTACTTTATTTTATATACGTATATAGTATAGTATTTAGGTATATGTATGTCTGTATGTATGCATGTATGTATATGTTTTTATTATCTTTATTTTATATTTAGTAGGTATATTAATATTATAATGTATAATGATAGTTCACACTAAATCTCCTTCTCTTTGAATCTGTCCAGTATCTGGCCTGCTGGAAGAAATTTCAGTATGAAATAAGCAGCGCCTTTGCATAAAGTATCTTTTTTAGTCTAACTCATTCATACACAATTCATTCAGACCACTTATATGTTCTCCCTGTAACTTCTCTATTCTTATACGCTGTAACGCAGTGGTAGACACAGATGTCCGATGCCGCCAACGTCTGAATAAACCGTAAATTCGGCATAAGACCAGGTAGTGATCCATTCCTACGTTAGACCTCCGGTAAACCCTTTTATCCACCACTACACTCCTCATTCTTTCATCCACAATTATGAAATCTATCATGCTTCTATCACCTCTTTCCCAAGTATACATGTGAATATTCTTATGACGAAAGAAAGTGTTCCTCACAAAAAGATTCTTTTAAACACATATGGTGAGGAGGCTTTGCACCATTCTCATTTATACTTTCATCACCAAAAGTTCTCAATATCCTTTCAAAGCCAAGCCTCTTCACCCCAACCCTTCCATTAAAATCTCCTAACATAACAGTATTTTCATTTCCCTTACATTTCATTAACACCGTGCTTACGATTTCCCAAAACTACTCTCAGATATAAGTGGGTTTAGACATGTCTGGGGCGTAGAATCCTAGAACCAAAAACTTCTTTAGGGCCACTGTCATCCGTATTCATAGCAGTCTCGGGCTTACACATTCATACTCCTTCACACATTGACCCATTCTTTCTGAAAGGATGATACCTCCCTGGCATGTAAGTAATATAAATCTTAATATATATAAATTACGTGTCATGTTGTTTTTCCGCGATGGACTCCTAAAATACGAGTACTTAACCGATTTTAATCAAATTTGCACACCGTGTGTAGTTTGGTCCAACTTGAGAGATAGGATAGTTTTTTTGCCCATGAGTGACCCATAATTTTTTTGCGTATTTAATGTTTTTTAGTAGGACATGACAAAGGGTCGTCGAAAAGGGCAGAACAATGTCTGCGTGGTAAGCTAGTTATATGTAAATGTAAAAGAAAAGAGCGCCGTTATCGCCAACATGTTGCACAGTTTGGCGAAGATTATTATTATTGTAAATGCCTGTTTTTTAATATGAATAAAGGTATTATAAAAATAATTTAGATTTGAAAAAGTATTATCACAAGATATTGTATTTAATTGCCTCCCGGGGGAAACGTGCAGGGTGTGTCTAGGATTAGGTGGTCAAAGCCTAAGGACGCGAGCAACTTATCCCCCCTGAAAGATACATTCTTAAGAAAAGTATAATGTGCTGCCTAAAATAAGTGTTAATTAAAGAAAGAAATATTTATTATAACAGGTATAATATACCTATGATAAGTATGGAAGTAACATAAATCTTAATATATATAAATTACGTGTCACGTTATTTCTCCGCGATGGACTCCTAAAATACGAGTTAACCGATTTTAATCAAATTTGTAGACCGTTTGCAGTTTGGTCCAACTTGAGAGATAGGATAGTTTTTTGCCCATGAGTGACCCACAAGTTTTTTTTGCGAATTTAATGATTTTAGTAGGACATGACAAAGGGTTGTCGAAAAGGACAGAACAACGTCGGCCTGCTAAGCTAGTTATATACAACATGTAACAAAAACCCTGTGGTTCCCGTTAACTGCGTTATCAGAATCAGTATCCAAGCATATAGAAATAGATTTTTTTCAAAAAAAAACACATTTAAAAAAATAATTTTAATGAAAAATAATTAATTTGCAAATTGTATGTGGTTTAATTATCATGAAAAATAATTAATTTGCAAATTGTATGTGGTTTAATTATCATGAAAAATAATTAATTTGCAAATTGTATGTGGTTTAATTATCATGAAAAATAATTAATTTGCAAATTATATGTGGTTTAATTATCATGAAAAATAATTAATTTGCAAATTGTATGTGGTTTAATTATCTCTCCATTGGCCGAGGAGTAAGAGGATTGTCAAAGACCCCGCATTACCGATACCCGTGTAAGTTAGAGGAAATAAACCCACATACAATTAGCAAATTAAATTTTTTCGTTAATTTTTTTAAATGTGTATTTTTGAAAAAAAAATTCTATACGCTTGGATACTGATTCTGATAACACACTTAACGGGAACCATAGGGTTTATGTTACATATTGTATAAATGAAAAAAAAGAGCGCCGTTATCGCCAACAACATGTTGCACAGTTTGGCGAAGATTATTATTATTGTAAATGCCTGTTTTTTTAATATGAATTAAGGTATTATAAAAATAATTTAGGTTTGAAAAAATATTACCACAATATATTGTATTTAATTGCCCCTCATCTTGCTATTACTTTTAATACTGGTTTCGAATCTGGTGAAACATAGTAAAGTAATTTAAGACCCATTACTGTACCAACAATTTTCAGTAAAATTTTGAAAATATAATTTTTGATCAATTATTTAATTTTTTAATACACATAAATTACTCCATAAAAATCAATTTGGTTTTATATGGGGTTCGCTCGCCGCCTAACGCAGGTGTTGAGCTTATGAACCATATTTTCAATGCCTGGGAGAATTCATAAGATGCCTTAGGTATTTTTTGTGATCTTTGCAAGGCGTGCGAGTGTTCATCATTAGATATTAATCAGGAAACTACAACATTACGGTGTCAATAATATTGCAATCAGACTTATTAATTACTATTTATATAACATCTGTCTTTTGTGTTTAATAATAACTTGTATTTTCTGGGATTTTGTTGTAAAAGCGTATATATACATCGCCCCAAAAATGAATTACTGACTCGGTGGAGTCGAGTTACTGGTATTAACAGCTTGTGTCTGTTGTCTTATTTTTGTAAAACTAATTTTATATTTGTGTACGTACATTACATTTTCCTAAATGTATTAAGAGGCCAAAGTTAATATATTAACTTCCTTAAGTTTTTGTCTGAGCGACTCTTTAGGTTTTACAACATAGATTATTCTAATG